CCCCAAAACCCCAAAACCCCAAAACCCCATGGGAGTGGACGAATGTTGGAAGGCCTTCCTGAAATTAATATCTAATATATTCTATTAAATAAATAAAAATGGATGAAAATGAAGCTACGAACCCTTCAATACCATTAATAGATGAAGAAAGTTTTGAAGAGGAACAGTTAAATCGTACTAGAAACAGCTTCAAGCAAGTAATTCAAGGAGAAGATAAAGGTAAGCTAGAGTTGTTCTTGTGATAAGCTAGAGCCTCTTCTAGAAGTTTGGAATGTTCAATCATCTTAAATTATTATAGATCGATTTGTTATCTATGAAGAACACCCTTACCAAACAGCAAGCTTGCTCTCAAAAGTTCTCTTTAATTGGACATCAACAGCTATTAAGGTAAATTTTCAAATTTATTAGTAGTTCGGACAGAAGAACAGATTTGGCCCACATACTCTTGGAAATCCTTATGAAGAAGTCAGAGCCGAGGCACAGAAAAACAAATTGCTGCTAGCCTGGAACCATTACAAGGGCCTTACAAAGCATGCTATCATGAAGGCTATTTGGCATTGATACAGAGTAGATTTCACACTTGTGATTTTTCTCCAATTCATTTGTGGTAAAGCAAACATCGATAACTTTATAGCAATCTTACAGATTTCTCAGCCAATTTTGGTTATGGAGATTCTCATCTTCATTGAAGCTCCTATTGGCAAAGACGGTACTGTTGGTGTGGGAATTACTCTTGTTGTACTCTACTTTCTGGTTGACCTCAGCCAGCTCTTAATCACAATGCAAGTTAATTTTCTCCAATCAATTCTTGGGATTAAATGTAGTAACGGAGTAACTAGTATTATCTATGACAAAATACTCAAGATATCATCTGCAACGAACAAGAAGTATTCTGAAGGAGAAATCATCAATTTCATAGAGGTTGATGTCAGCAAGATCGAACAGATAGCATGGCAACTTCCCATGGTCTCTAAGTACCCTATTCAACTCCTCTTCAGTGTTGGCTTCTTGTTTTATTTCTTTGGAGTTGCTTTCTTTGTGGCTATTGGAATTGGAGTGTTGGCATCTCTGGCTAACTTTATCATCGCAAAATTACGTGCTACTCTCCAAGCAAGGTTAATGAAAATAAAGGATAAGAGAATGAGAGGGACCACTGAAACCGTCAATAGCATTAAAGTTATCAAACTCTACTCCTGGCAGGACATATTCATTGATAAAATATTTGGAATAAGAGACCAGGAGATCAAACTTCTTAAGTTGGAAGCAATATTAGATGCTATAGATTGCTTTATTGTTTGGATGACTGGACCAATGCTGATACTATCTACTTTTCTGACATTCTTCTTAATGGGAAACAAGATCTCTTTGGCAAGTTCTTTTGCTGCCATACAAGTATTTGTTCATTTAGACCTTCCTGTTAAATGGCTGCCAGAAGCAGTTAGATCTTTTCTGGAATTTATCATATCAATGAATAGAATCCAGAACTTTCTTTATTGCCATGAAGTAAACGAAGATATTTTGAAATTAAATGATGCTCAGCTACAAAGTGATGGAAAGGATATACAAATTACAAATTCAAATTTCATGAAACTGCCTTCTATTACGTAAGTCTATTAAAGATTGGAGAAATTTTTAATTTCCTATTTTCTAAAATATTTTCGCTAAAAGTTTAGACATTCATCAGAACTTCTCAATATTTCTTGGTCAAATTCTCTACACTAAAATAGATTAAATTAGGTTTTCCAAATCCCAACTATCAAATCTTATATTTTCCAAATTCTCTCACAAACAATCCCATCCTCTTCCCACCCCTCTTACTCCTTCCCCCCACCTTCCCTACCCCCCCCCCCACCACAAAATCCCTCACTACCCCATAACCCCCCTAAAACCTCCAAAATCCCTCCCCTCCAATTCCCTCATCTCCTTCCTAAACTTCCCACTCCAATCCTCCAAATTTTACACCCTGCCAAAATTCATTAGGATTTAACTAAGAAATTACCGAATAAAATCTATTTTCTAGGCATCGAAATCTGAAAGGAGGAAGGGGAGTAAGTAAATATTTTAATAGATTTTCTGGCGAAGGAGAGACTAAGACACTTTCTGAATGTATCTTTCTGAAGAACCTTGACTTGGAGATATTCAAAGGAGAATTTATTTGCATCATTGGAGAAGTAGGTTCTGGAAAATCATCACTTCTCGATGCTATTGTTGGAGATATGATATATGTGGATAACGCAACTTTACATGAATTTGGAAATAGGGTTTTAAATGAAAAAAATTCTGAGGTAGTGTGCGAGAGAAGTAAACAGCATAAGCATATTGTCAAGCTTGGTGGTCATATCAGTCTGGTGCAGCAGACTCCTTGGATTCAGAACATGACTATCAGAGATAACATTCTCTTTGGACTTCCTCTTGACGAGGAAAGATATAACAGAACTATACAGATATGTCAGCTTGTAAGCGATTTAGATGTTCTAAGTGGAGGAGATCTCACTGAAATTGGAGAAAAAGGTATCAATCTTAGTGGAGGACAGAAAGCCAGGATAAGTCTAGCCAGAGCAGTCTACACCAATAGTGACATAATTCTTATGGATGATCCTATTTCAGCCTTGGACTCACATGTTAGACACAAAGTGTTTGAAGAAGTCTTCTGTGGAGAACTACAAAACAAAACCAGAGTTTTGGTCACACATGCAGTCGATTTCATTAAGAAGGCAGACAGAGTGGCTATCATGGAGAAGGGAAAAATCAAGTACATTGGCACTTATGAAGAAGTAAAACATTCAGAAGAGATACAACACATTATTCAATCTATTTCTGAAACTGCAGTAAGTAGTGCAGACAAGGAAGAAAGTAAAGAAGATGATGATGATAAAGGTTTGATTGAAGAAGATTCAGAAATCAATAGGAAAACTTTCCTGAGTAAGCAAGGAACAAACATCACGGAAGATGAGAATGAAGAAATCTTAGAAGTCCCTTGGAGCCTTTATATAAGATTTTTTACTTGGGACAAAAACTGGATAATTTATGCCATAGTACTCCCTTTATTTCTTGCTTATGCTTATTGTGCAACTTTTGTTCCATTCTTCTATGGTAAATGGATAGAAAGATACAATGAAGATTCTGAAATATCTTGGGGATTATTTACTCTAGCTCTAATGCATCCTATTGGCTACGCAGTGATAATTGGAATCATAGTAATTTTAATAATGTTCTCTTCGTTGAAAAGGTCAAAGAAGCTTCATAACGAGATGTTTGAGAGCGTTATAAAGGCACCTATAAATCTATATTTTGACAAGACCCAATCAGGGAAAATATTGAACAGATTCTCAAATGATATAAACATAGTAGATTCTGAGCTGCCAAGGTAATATCAACTATAATTTTTAGGAAAGTCATATGGACAATAGAGTGCTACATCTCAGCTATATTCTCAATGTTTGTTTCTGTAATCAACACGTAAGCTAATTTAGTAATTATTTTAGATTATGGGCTCTTATTCTTATACCTATTGTAGTCACATGATGAGTATTTATCACCAGACATTTCATTAGGGCATATAGAGAGCTAACTAGGCTACAAAATGTCCTTGGAAGTCCTTTAATAAGTCATTTTAGTGAGACTCTTAATGGAGCTTCAACAATTAGAGCTTTTAAGAAAAAAGACGATTTCATTCAAAGAAATATGGAAATTTTAGACAAAAAAATGGGAATCTGATTCTGGAGAGAAGGAGTCATGGGATGGTTTCAAGTCAGGATCATGATTGTATGATCTTCAATATTTTTGTTCACTGGACTATTTTCTGTAAGGTTAAATTTGTAATTTTAGGTAATTTTTAAGTCAGATGCCAACTCATTATTGCTAGGAATGTTGTTTATGAATTGAGTATGGATGTCATTTCAAGCGTGCTGGGCAAGCATTTCATTAGCTGAGCTTGAAAGTAATATGGTGTCATATGAAAGGACTCTAAAAATGCTATATTTACCTCAAGAAGATTCTAAGCCTTACGAAGCCCTATTTGATACTTGGCCTCAACATGGCAAAATCCAGTTCAAAAACTTCCATCTCAGATACAGACCCGACACCGAACTCGTCCTCACCGATCTCAACTTCACCATTCCAGCCAAACACAAAGTCGGAGTTGTTGGCAGGACTGGAGCTGGCAAGTCAACGATCTGCCTTGCTCTTTGCAGAATTGTTGAAGCAGATTCTGGCTGCATTGAAATTGATGGAAGAGACATCTCAGAGTTGAGTTTGCAAAATCTCAGAAATGAAATCGCTATTATCCCACAAGACCCTACACTTTTCGAAGGCACCCTTAGATACAATCTTGATCCCCAAGATACTCGTTCAGGCACTGAATTGCTTGAAGTGTTGAAACTGGCATCTCTAGATGACTTAGTAGCCAGAGATGACAAGGGTCTTGACCAACAGATCGAAGATAAAGGTGTCAACCTTAGTTCTGGTGAGCGTCAGCTCATTTGTATTTGCAGAGCCATCTTGCGCAAAAGCAAGATTGTGCTCATGGACGAAGCCACAGCTAACATTGACATCAAAACCGAGCAAGCTATACAGAAACTGATCCATGATAAATTCAAAGATGCCACTGTGATAACCATAGCTCACAGACTCAACACCATCATCCAGAGGTAGGCCTCAGACTTAACATATAGCGACAAAGTGTTAGTACTCGACAAAGGCCAAGTAGCCGAATACGACAATCCACAAACCCTCTTAGAAGACTCATCATCAATGTTTTACAGTCTCGCCAAAAGACTAGACTCAAAAGCAAATGAATCAAAGAATCTCTAATAAATTTTGCCATATCTACTCTCAGTCCTACCCTCCCAATCCTTGATTACATTCCTACCTCTTTCACTATCACCATCTCCTTTCACTTCAACCATCTCAAAACTCCCTGGGGTTTTGGGGTTTTGGGGTTTTGGGGTTTTGGGG